CTCCCAGCTCTGGTGACCCGTCCCCTGGCCAGCTCCTATGGCCAGGGCTGGGATGCAGGAGGCTCCTGGTGCAGCTGTTGGGTGGCCACATTCCACACTCCCCCTGTACAGCCACACTCCCCAACCTCAGCAGCAGCCAGACCTTGGCCAGGTAACTCCAGAGCACAGAGGGAACGGATGAATAAATTCATCCTCTCATTCTGAGTTATGTTCATTTTTAACTTGCCTCGAGAACCACTTTCTGTTTGCCCCCCAGGGCTGGTACCTGCAGGACAAAACACGCAGAGGTGCTGATTGTCTCAGTTTCCTTCTCCCTGCAAACTCCCTCCTGATGGAAAACTACACTTTGCAGTTGTCTTTGCAACTGATATAGTATTAAGCCTTTTTTTCTGAGCAAACAAATTAAATTAGGAATTAGTTTGTTTAAAATATGAAATTAATTAATTTCTTTACTTAAAAGAAGCCAATCTTATAAGGCAGGAATGTTATTTCCATTCTCTTTTTAGAGAGATAAGAAAAGGCTTTCAGTTTTTTCCATTAAGAATTTTTAAGTCAGGAACTATTACTGAGCCACTGTGACATGTTTTTGAAGGTAAAAGTTCAGCATAAATAGGGTTCAATGTATGTGTAGAGTTTTAAGTTTTTTTAGTCCAAATGCCTTTTCTCTGTCACATGATATTTTCAGAGTTGAGAGGAACTCACATAATAATCTTGCACACAATCCAGCCTCCCAGAATTTGTTTCTTGTAAATGTAATGAACTTTACAGTGAATTTTTCATACTTCTAAATGGAGAAGTAGCAATAATTTTACTTTATATCCATTCCCAATGCAACTGGAAAACTGTCCTTGTAGTTGTCAACTAGCAAAAGGTACACTTGTGTCCCTGTTCTCAAGAGTTATTACTCAAAGCACAGAAGGGAGCACATGACTGTACACTGACCTTCATCTGTTCCCAAATTATGTCTTTTAAAAGCCTTGAATCTGTTTAAGGGGAGCTGTTGAAACCTGAAACGAACTTGGTCTATTGCTTTATAAAGTAGATGAATGTAAAACTTAAGTATTACATTTCAGGCTCTTACTGTACTAAATATAGCAAAATTAGGATGAGAGAGAATGTAACTGTAACCTGAGTCTGGTTTTAGAGAATAATTTTTTGTTACAGGTATCGATGGTTACTCTGTAATATTTGGTATGTTTCTATTTCTAACAGAAAATCACCACAAATGTTCTCCTGATCAAGATTTTTATTTTTAAAAGCAGAGTCCTTAAAAAGAATTACGAACTCCTCACCCTGCAAATCGCACCCCCACAAATTGATAACCAGTTCTGACAGACCCAGGTGTAAAAAGAATCTTGAAATACACCTTGCATCTAAATTTTCATTGCTTGCATTCTGCTTGATTTTCATAAGGATATGTTGAATAATCAGCAAACACATCACCTGAGTATTAAAGGAAAAATTACACTTAATTGGAAAAGTAAGCAGTGCGTTAAATAACTGCAGAAAGCATCTTTTGCTGTGTGTCACTGCCTAACACAACAGGCCAGAATTATGTAATGCTTACAAGCACCACCTCAATAAACTTGTTCAATAATTACACTGGAAAAGAGGTAATCAAGGATTTTTATTTTTCTTCTTTCATTTTTAGTAAACTTCCCTGTTGCTTCTAATGATGTAATGAAACCTTATAATGAGCTCTGGTAATGTTCATCTGCATGTTTCAAAGAAAGATTAACTAAAATGTAACTCCACAGGACAGCAGTAAACTCCTTATTTTCCAAAAGAAAAATGGCTTAGAATTTGACAGATTTCTTGACAAGTTTGCAAATTTTTGACAGTTGTCAGATGGGAACTGTAACATTCATTAAGTAATTAATCTACTTAAATCGTAGAAACTTTCAAGTGGGAAGAGACTTTTGGAGACCATCTGATCCAATCTCCTGCTCAAAATCAGGCTAAAATCTAAGTTAGGTCTGATTTCTCAGAGCCTTGTCCAATCAAGGCTTGAGTTTCTCCAAGGATGGGTGTTCCTCAGTCTCTCTGGGCAAAACATTCCAGGACTAAACTACTGTCCATGGGTATGTCCTTGTGTCCTAGGTCTTCCTTTTGTTACAATTTAAACCTAAATATGGGAAGAAATGCTGCTTCTTTTGTCTATGGACTCAGTTGATTTCTGACAGCACAGGTTTTGAAAGTTTGCCTTGGCAACAGTTTATTGTGTGACCAGTAATAAACTACAGAAGACTTTTTTTAAGTGGCATGGAGGAATTAAGAATAAGCAATTATTTGTTCAACGTAAATTACAGAGGTGACTCCAGGACTGATACTCTAGTTCTGAATGGTGCTGGTCTTACAAAAGCTTGGGAACCACACACTGGGGACTCATGCCCAGATCTGCAGTAAATAAAAAGAAAAAAAAAAAAAAAAGCCTCTCCCTGTAATACCTAATAACAACTCTTCTATTTTTGCTTGTGCTTGTGGTACTCCAGCCTGCATACAGTTAAATGATCTCACCGTACTGCAATATATAGTCACATTTTAAAAGGTGACTCACACTTTAGGCAAATGAAGTGACTACTGCAGTCCTCATGTTTTCGTCTTTATATAATTTAATCAGCTGTTCATCTGAACAGTTGGAAAGGATACATTTATACGACAATAACTTAATCTCTCGTGGTAAATATTTTCCTGTATCAAGTCTATCTTCTGATACAAATCTATTGAATATTGGCTTATCTTGACCTAATTTGAAATGAGAAAGAACACTGGGGTCCCAAAGGAACACAGCACACACTGGGTTCACTGTCATACAGCAAGGAAGTCAGTCTTAAGCATATTTACTTGTGCTGCTGAAAGAGGATGACAGACAAAGACATGAGTTAGACACAATATCTGGTTTTATATTATTAGCACAGCTGTAGGTTTTTTTCTTCAGCATCAATAAATCTATTATACATATCAATTATATGCAAATGTGTAATATATACATATGTGTACTTCACAGATCTGACATTCCAATGCATATGTTCAATTTAGGTAAACAGCTTTATTAAAAAAGGCTGTTCTTCTTTGAGCATTTAACAGTATTACAGCACTGTCAGAAGTAGCACAACTTCTGAATACTTCTGAAAAAATATTATTAAAAAGGGATTTTATCTATGGAAAACATCTACAATCTTCCTCAAGCAGACATAAGCAGTAGGAAACCCTGACCAACAAGACGTGTCCTGGAAATCTCTCCTCTTCTTCAAGATTTATTCTTCACTAAGGGTAAAGAACCCTTAAGAGCTCTCTAAGTATGAAGTCCTCTATAATCCTCAGCAACTAGTTAATGTGACTTTTCCATATAACAAGTACCACAGCTGCCCTACTAAGATACAGCAAAACGTAGGGCTTTAATGCATTATAAGGGATCTTGAACCTGACTAATGTATCTCATAATAACTGGCTTCCTAGTTACAAGTAGTATTTATGTGAAACCACGGATTTCCTACACAGAAAGTTCACATTATTACCTCTGGTGTCAGAAGCTGCAATGAATTTCCTCATGAAAGAGTGTTAGACATTCTGCAGTTCAACAGTAGTCACTAATAAGTTCGGGTGGCAGCTGTTGTACATCTGAAGCTAACAAATGTTATGTGACCAGAGATGACTGGCATGACATGTGGCCGTAGCCTTTTTATAAAGTTATGTTCTCAACTATTTTAAAAATGCCCACAAAAGTCCTTCAGAAATACTGTTCCCAAGAAGTTCATGGAAAACTGATCCTTTAATACTTACCCCACTCGGTTAGTTGCATATATTCACACGTTATCACACAGTGATAAACTAAAGTTTAAACAAAAATAGTAATACAAATTCATCCTTAAGTCATGTTCCCAGCACTGTGACTTGAGGCTGGATTCATTTGCTACAATGGGCATATATTAAATTTCCAGCAATCAATTATCATTTCAGCCTTTGTATCTGCGATCATAAATTCAGGCACATGCCCATATGGACAGACAAAGTGCAAAGACAGAACTGTCTTCCAGAAAAATTCCACAAGCAAGTGTGAAGTTCAGTAATGAAATATCACTCCCTACTCTGTCCTAGTTTCAAGCAGTACAGGCATTTTTAATCTAGCTAATACTTTCCCAGTCTTCCTGGAAATTTTACTTTCATAATCTTTATATTGATAAAAAAGTGTTGTTGTCATTTTATGTCCCTCACAGGCACCTACACACAAAAAGACTCATGTAAGGATTTAGAGGGTTCCAACAGAGTACAATATCCAAAAATGCAACTGATTTTACTTACTTCATGCATAAGAAAAACACATCTCTTGACATGGTTCTGGTTATGTCACAAGTGTTTTTTGCCATTAGTGTTTTGCACCGTTTTTTACATTTAATAGATTTAAACAAGCTTTTTCTAGGAAAAATTTGTTAGCTATGTTTTTTATTTTTATCTTCCATGAGCAGATTAACTAAAGTCTTTTTCTAAAAGACACATAAATACTTTAGTTTTTAATAACTCTGAGACTAGGACTGTTTCATATATACCTTATTTGTTATAATCCTGTATGAACTGATCTTTGAAGTCAGGAGTCAGTTGCTTTTCTTCCCCGATACAAGAAATAAAATTAGAAAGGCAGAAGAAAGTCCTTCCTTCAGATGATATATTTCCACTCAAAAAAGAAAATTTCATACAATCCAAATTTTCATTTGTATCTTCTCTGTAATCACTAAAATGTACAATACATAGTGTGCTAAAACTCTAATATTTAAATAGTCAAGCACGGACAAAACTTACTGAAAACATAATAAACCACGAGATTTTAAAACTTCTGCTAATTCCGTCTAAAACAGTGAAGAACTACCTGCAAGTATAACAAAAGAAGTGAGAATTGAAGAGGAAATTGGAGGGGAAAAAACATCAACAGTTGATCAATGGAAGAGAATACAGTATGAAATACAACACAAAGACAATGGGAAATAACGTGATTCCATTGTTACCTGTCATGTGTTCTCATAAAATCCCAGAACTTCTTCGTACCATTCTGGGGAGAAAAAAAATTTAAAAATCCATCAGTCAAATTAATTCCAAGTGAAAAAGTTACTATAATGAAATTTAATAAAATTTAACAGGCATTTCTTTAAAAACTTAGTATAGTTGGTTTTATTTATGAGACTATCCTTCTGTGTTTTGACAGTAAGTATTACAGGTGCTGAGAACTGCCTTAGGACAGTTCAAAATCTTAGATCCACAATATCATGATGACAGCTAATGCAAGATTATTGTAGTCTTCAGGCCCAATTTTGGCCACAGCATCAACTTCAGACGTCCAAGCTAATCACTCAAGGTGTCAGGAAGCTATAAACAGCCACGTTTTAAACTGTAAAATAACCCATAGATCTATGTTTTTCCATGTCCAGAAATGGTCTGGTGTGGACAGCTCAGCATTTACCTCCTAACTAAACTCTTTTGGGATCCAGGAACAAGACATCCTTCGCTCTCACCCCTTACAAGGCCTAAAATAGCAGTTTTGTCCACACCTAACATACTCCATTCTACACAGCAGCTGTTCCTCTGCACTGCTGGTGGTGCTGAGAGCACTGTCTAACAACAGGTTTGAAGCCAGAGCACTCACCCAAGAACTGGGAGACATAAAATGGATTATTTTCCCAAGATGGGCTTAAAAAGAACGATATCCACTACAGCACAGCTGAAACTGATCCCTGAAAACAGGTATTATTGGACAGTTATAATGAACAGGTATACACTTGCTTACATTTATAGCTTCTACAGTCACCTATAGCAATTCATACACACCATGGAGACATGTATATAATTCCTTACCCTGCTTATTAGAAGTGTGATATATTTCAGCTAAACACAAGTCAAGAGATTTCACTCCCAGGTCAGTTTTAAGTTTAAATGAGGAATCAGAATGCAACCAGAGGAAATTCTTGTGGCTGATACCTTTTTCTTATTAGCAACGCAAAAACTAGACCTGCTGAAAACCTACATACCCAAAATATGCTTAATGTGAAAAGCAGCACTGGGTTGCTATTAAAAAGTATGGTTAAATGGATGATCAAACCTTGAGCAACTGGTTAATGATTTAAAGCAGGTAAATGTTGAGCAGTGAAAGAAGAATCAAATTCAGTTGGTGGTAAAGGTGCCAACCAATATAGACAGGCCCTTCAGCTCTATTACAGATGTCATGGCTACCAAGTACACAACAGCTGGTGGGGATTAGATAACAAGCACTCTGGTTCAGAGATTAAGCTCCCGAGCTTTATGAGTTTACCAAGCTTTTTGGAAGAGTGACTGTTTGCTTGCTAGCTGGGTTTTTCTTCATTCCCACAACTCTAATTATAAACAGTTATTCACCTCAAGAGAGACTCTAGTCTACGCTTCCACTGGTGCCTGTGCATACCTTCTGTGAGCACTGACAGCAACCAAACGTCTCCATTACGGGAGAAGCCCTCTCATGGTTTAAATGCAATATAATGTTGAAAGAGAAATAAAGACAGTAAATTTTCAGTGTGAACTGAAATATTAAAGCTGAGTACTTATCCAATCCATTCCACCTGGGGAGAGATGGAGGAACAACTTTGATAGGATTATGACACAACACGCAGTTGCAACACTTAAACGTAATAGCATAGGCTGTGTTGTATGGGAAGATAATTTAAGGTATTAAATGTGTAAGGTCAGCTCAATCCTTCTGTAGGTTTATTTCTAACTGTATGGCAGGATTTTCTCTTGTTTGCAGATTGCTGGGCAATTTTCCATTTAACTTGAGTTGGAGAGCTGTGGACCAAGAATAATGTCTTCTGCACATAACTTCATATTGCTTCTCCAGTTTCAACCTTACCCTGCCCAAAATGTGCTACATCATCCATTCTACCTTTGTAGTGTCCACTTGGGAGAAATGTGGGTGCCCAGCTGATGGAGAAGACAAAAAAACCCTGAATCAAGTCCCTCATTGCATTAATTTCGGCTGTTAGTTCTGCAGTACTACTTTCAAACATACGATCCCAGCAACAATCTTCCTGGCTCTTTGCTCCTGCCATCATTTTGCAAATTATAGACCTTGATTGCTTTGGAGCACCTACGAGAGCCAAATAGCTGAGGAAAATTACACCCTAGAGATTCATCCTCATCCAGATGGGATCCATCAGATTTGAATGACCTCTTCTCAAGGATGAGCTCCATTACCATGAACAGAATCTACCTCACAGACATGAACATAATTTTTAGCAGAAAGTAAAAGAAAGAACTTAGTACCTAAAAGGAAACTAATAAGAAAATAAAATCTGTATTTTCTATTTTCTAAGCCCATGTAACGCTCTTTCTCTAGAACATGATTTGATTAGTTTAAGACCCAAATTCAAAACCAGCCACAAGCTAAATTATTTTGAGTCTGTCCAGTCAAGACGTTGGTTCGCATCATACACTCTTACTGGACAAAGCTATTTTCTGCCTATATCTGAATAAAAAAAACTAGTACATATGATCAACCTGCACCTGTCCAAATAAATAAATCAATAAACAAATGAAACATTCCAACATCTCTTTGTTTACAGTGGCAGAAACTCAAATGAGCCTCATTCATGTCCTATTGTCCAAGTCAAATGTAATTTGAACCCAACCGTACAGAGTTGAGTTTCTATTGTACCCAAAGCATGGTTCTTTCCTAACAGACTAGTAGGAAGGTTGCTAATTATTAATAGCATGTAAACAGTTACCAATGGTTCTTATGGTGCTTTACATACTTCACAGAACATTAATTCCAGCCAGTTTCTAACCAACTATGTCAAGCTCTATGTAGTATCTCTATCTTATCTTTAAGACAAAAGTACTAATTGCTGGACTGATCAAGATTCGTGCTTTTAAAAGCCAAGTAACTATGATTACTTCTTAAACTGTTCCATTCCATATATCCTGGCCTTTGACAAGGCTCTGCTATTACTGCAGTTACAGACAGCTGGAAGATTAAAGCATCAATGGTCAACATCACTTCTGAAAAACAGAAGTATCCTTGTGAAAGACAAAAGCTGTCTCAAACTTGTAATGCTCTTCATCTTAATAAACATATATAATTGCATTATTACAAAGTAGTCCATTCTAAAAGGAACAATCACAGTGTCTTTCAATGCAGTGAGGGAAATAAGTATAACTGATTGCTGGGAGATCTAAACACTGATGACAGAAAGGAGTATATAATTACATTTGAGAAAGATCTTAAAAATTATTCTTCAAACAGGAAACTGTGCCCTGTGATGTTTTATAAAGACAAATACATCAAAATTATTTCATACTTGTTTTTATCTGTTCAGAATAGCAGTTCTGATACTGCAACAACTTTGTGTAACACATAATCGATTTGGTAAATCTTTAATCACAAAGTAATCACACTCTACTTCTGTGCTCAGTGATCAGGCTCTGTGATGTTGCAATGCTGAACTAGTGCATATAGTATATGTAAATTAATAAAGCTGTATTCCAGGAGAGGCAGCATGTGAGACAACTTAGTTTCAGGTTACACAGAAGACAGATCACTTACATAAGTACTAATTGCATAAGAAAGCCATATCAGGTCAGATGAGATGTCCATCCTGCCTGGCATCCTGGCTCTAAAATTTAAGAACAGGGAAAGCATAGAGCAATGCTTCCCCAGAACACTTTTCCAAAACTTTGACAAAAGGCAGCTGAAGACTGGCAAAAGACAGTCCCCCAAAATGCATCCAAATTAAACAGTCCTCCACTGACCCCAAAAAGGGAGCAGAAATAGCCATTTCTATACTACTTGAATGTGTGTCACAAGTCCTGCTCATGTTTTCTGTAAGACTGACATGGCAATGGCATTGATAACTTAGAATTAGAGCAGCACACTCCCAAGCTTGACAATCTGCACAAGGAGAATCAAACCCTTTTGGATCAAGTGATTCCAGGACAACCATGCACTTGCAAACAAGTGTTGACAGTGGATGCAAGTTCAGCAGATGTGACTCCTACCTGCACAGAGCTGTTTATGTCACTCACACTTCATATTCTCTGTCCTGCCTCCATCCTTTAAATCATTTTCCTAAGACTCTTCCTGCATCTGCTCAGTGCCATAATTACAAGCAGGAGCCTCTTCACACCGTCTGTTATGGATAAGTCAGACTTGTCTGCAGCCTATCAAAACACCATTCTTTTTCCCACCTACACTCTGTCTGTCTCTGGCTAAAATGCCTTAAGAATCACTGTGCCAGGGATATCACTGTCCTTTGCTTTCCTCCACCGCCTGAGGCAATATAATGTCTGAACAACAAGGTCAAATTGCTGTCAGGATGCCCGTGCAAAGGATAACTTTTGCTTGCTAGAGAAACTCGTCTAAGATTTAATCCAAGCTGGCCCATAAAGAATATAAAAAGGACATGCTGTGCTAATGATGTAGGAAGTAACATCCCCTGGCACTGACTGTATGCTGATAGTGGGTGTGCTCCACATGTGATAGACCCTGGACATGGTCTGACACAAGTTACTGGGAATTTCTACTCTTCATTTGGGGCAGCTTGAATGCTTTCCTCCTCCTTTTCCCTGAGGGCAGGGCCCATGCACAGTCTGCCACCCAAGAAGCTCTTGAACCAGCTCATACATGGGGTGATGTGTCTCCACAGGTACCAATACTCAGCGTTACACTGACACCATTCTGAGCCTTCAAAAAACCCTCAGCTCAAACAAACCAACCCCCCTCAGGCTGGCTGAGGTGTACAGCTCTCCTGGGAGAGTAAACTGGAAATGTGTTAGTGTAACAGGTGAAAGAACACTCACAAAACCTCTTTAAATGTTTCCTTTAACTCTACGTCATGGTAGTTTGACAACATTACAGAAGGGTGCATAAAATAAATCCTCCGCATGCAGATTTACAGTCACAGATTTCCTGTCGTTACTCTGTTGGGAGTTCAGACCATTCAAAAAAAACAAAATTTATGTTGGATTGGCACTGATTTAATGACTTCTTGCAATGAGCTCTGGACAGACAACACATGACTGAAGCAGAAACAATCTTTACTCAAAATCTATGTAAAACTTCTCCTGTCTTATTTGTCTCATTGAACTATTTAACAATTTTGAAAGTGACCAAATTAAAGGCATTGCCTTATGTCATCTCCCATGTTTATTCACAGAAAACTTCTGCTTGGACAAAGTCTAAGTGGCCAGGAACTGTAAAGTTACACCAAAACCACCTTAGCAAAAAAGCTTCATACCTTGTATTACATATTTTTTTAGGAGAATGGTAACAGGCCATGCAGGCAGATCACTTAAAATGCAGGAGACATACGTCCAAAAGAAGCAAACTAACTTCACATATGCCACTAAAAGAGAAAGAAAAAAATCTGTCCGTGACAATGATTAACTCCTGACTGTTTACATTACAGGACAGACAACATGACGTTTGGCTACCCATTGTGAAAGGCACTAAACATATGTAGTGGGAACAGTTCCTGTTCAATGATCTTACAATTCAGTTAGAGCCCAGACAAAAGTTGGTGTAAACAAACAGAGGCAGTTAAGAAAAATGACAAATACGTTATGGTATAGATAAGCTACGTGCAGAAGTTACGAGGGTTAAAATGGCAAACAACAGCCATGATCCCCTAGTCTCTACCAGTTGGACTGGGTTTAAAGCAGTTACCCAAGGAGCAAATGTTCCATATTTGTGAAAAAATCCAATTTGAGAAGTTGAAGCAATTATAACATAAAAATAACTCTGTCCTTATTGCTCCATTTACTCTGTTTCCACAGTCCTAAGACACAAAAACAGTTAATGTCCTTAATGCAATAGGATAACGAGCATTCTTCATGTAATAAAATAATTTGACTATAGGTACAGAAAAACAGATAAGAAAATTAATTGGTAAATAACGGTCTCAAACCAGAGTCAGCAGAGCCAAGCAAGTGTGCAGTCCATTTAATGATTTACATGGAATAAGGCAGTAAAATTCCCTAGAGGAATAATGAGGTTTTGCTTTTTTTCTGTTCTCAGAAAAAAATTTTAAAGGTAGGAGGGTTATGTTTTTCTTGAAAAACTTGTGTAAAACTTGATTTTCTATTGCCCTTATTTTCACATTCAACCAATCTTCTACAAGTGTATCTGCACAGTTTAGTATCAATGTGCACAGCAATGCCTCTATCTGGAAACTCCCCACATGTTCTCCTGCTGAGGTGTTTACCTGCTGCCCAGAACTGCATGGTGAGAGAACACCAAACTTGTCACTTTATTATATGGGTTTTCATCAGGTTAATCCAGATGATCAGTGTGCCTGGGGAATCAAGTAACTGACTCTTGGACACAGACAAAAATCTGCACCAATGCAGCCAGCTCCTGCTGCCTCCTACCACCTTTATTTCCTTAAGTGGTCTTAGCTTAATGCTTTTCATCCATATTCCCCTTTTTTATGATCAGTAAAAGCTGCCAAGAGATAAATTTGCAATAAAAGCAACTCAGTAATTCAGTACTTTTTGGTTTATAAAATATATGGTTCTACAATGGGAAAGATGTGTATCAGCTGCTGCTTCTCAAGTCACAGTTCATGGGCTAAACAGAGTGGACTTCCCCTATGATAAACCCAAAAAAGCCAAGCCCTCACCACTCTGTAAATGAACCTTCCCCTTCCTTTCTCCACTCACTACAGAAATGCTGCTATCAGTTGAGATTTCCTTGTTACATTTCTTTTTTCTGCTTAATGGAACCTGATGTCACATCTGTAGCGGTTTTCAGTAGAAACATATGAGGATTTACAACCTAATATAAACCATTTCTTGCCAGTTGAATTATTAATGCCATAACTCTCTGTTACACAGAATCAATACATAATGTTTCCAGTGCCCACAGAAGCTGCACTTCCAGGACAAAATCAGGACTTCATGCTTTTCACTTCCCTATCAGACAATTACTCACCAAATTACCTTGCACTGCCTGAACATTTTTCACAGTATTTTCAGCACATGCCATAGACAAAAACTATGTGAATAAATAAATAAATAAACCATCAGCTTTGACCCCCAAAAATCCAGAGTTTGGGATTTTTTTAAAGAAAAAAAGCATTAGTAGTCATCATGATGCTCTGAAACCTGTATGAAGAACAGAAATCAAACAGACAGCTAAAACAAATTTGGACTTTTAAAGTTTTCCAGATAAGAATAAAATAAGATACCTGTTACATACACTTTTAAAGTTCCATTGGTTCCTGTTGAAGATTTTTTTTTTGGATTAATGAGTTAGTGGAGTGGTTTTTTGTTTATAGAAGCCAGAGAACGGCCATGCTGTACCGAAAGATCTCCATCCACAAAAAAAAAATTGCAAATGAACAGTCAAAAATACAACAACTAATATTCAACTTTTTCAGCTCAAGGAAAAACTCTGTCCTGAACAGACTATTTTTCATCTGAAATCTGTTTGAAATATCATAATTTTTTTGTCTACTTTAAAGGTTTGATTTGTGGCAAGCAGGAAGAAAGCTGTCTTCTTTTTATATAATTACAGACTTCAGAAAAAGTACTACATATCTTTCAAAATGAAAGGAAGCACTTTCAGCTGGCATGAAACCATGCAACACTGTTAAAAAAAACAATAAAATCAATAAAATCATTTTAATTTGCATTAGCTGAGTGGCTTTTTTTTTTTCCTTTTGAATGTATACATCAGTACCGGGGAACTGTCTTATGCTGGGCTATCATATGACATAACTACTAATTCAAATGCAAAGTGTTGGCCTTGAACCCACTCAGTCCTGGGGTGCAGTCCCAAAACAGTGCAAGTCAATGCAAACCAAGGCTGCTCCTTTTGCTACCCCAGCTGCACATCTTTGCTCTACCCCATCATTGACATTTGTGTAACTACACAGGAAGCTGGTTCTGGGAACTGACCTAATTAAAAAGCAAAACAAAACAAAACCAAAAAACAGTGCTCTACAAAAAAACCTGAAGAAAAAAAATGGTATTTAGTAGTCAACATGAAAGTAATGCCATTAGATATATATTGGAAGGTTTTACCAGTGACTATCAAACAGAGCAGCCTTGGTCTATCCACAGCTCCAAGAGGACAAAGATGTATCTAATAGGGAGTGTTCTACAGAGAGACACATGCACACAAAAAAGCCTAAATTACAATTTCACTCCACACCCACTAATCCACTCCATCAGACTGCACACGCTGGAGTAAATGAAGCCTCATCTTCAAAAGCAATTTGCAGAATTACTTGCTGATGTTGAAAAACTACTTCAAAAGAGTTTAAGTGTTATGGAATTTTACTGTTTTTTTAAACAAGCCACTGTTTAAGCTCAAGAGGAAGGGGGGGGAGTGTTTGCTTTTTAAACAAAGCTTGCAAGATTTCATTACTAAACTATCCAAAGTGTTTATTTTAAAAGCATCATGATTACAAATAATGGCATTTTGCAGTTTTTAACTTCCCTATTCAAATATTCCAGTGAGAAAGGACTGGGTTTAATGCACCCAAAAATACACAAACGGATGACTTTTTAACAACATTAAAAGTGAACATTCTACCTGAAGCACAAATACTACTTCTGCTAATTGGCTTTAATTGGCAATAATAACAATTCCAGAGGTAAGACTGAGCTAGCAAAGCTCATGGGGACAAATCATCCTGCCCACTAAAGAAGGGCATGCCAGCCCCAGCTGACACAGCAGTTCTGGGCAGGGCAGGACAAAGTTGCTGTGGTCTCACAATGCTCATTTTAGGCCTTGAACAAGAGGCAGGAGTGCTCAGCTCTGTGTGACAGCCAACTCTTTGATGCATGGGCTTCTTATCTGAAATTAGCTGGAAGACATAAAGGTACTTCTTGAAGAAACCATAACGTATTCCAGTGGAGACCACACCAGGGATACCTCAGGAGACATAAAACCTAAGGTCATAGACTGTAATTTTTACAACCCATATCAATTTTCTCTTCAAAGTGAGGGTTATTCTGGTAGGAGTTTGTAATGAAACTGCAAACAGATGGTTATAGCAATAGAGTTTACTGTTCAAAGGTGCAATTTTTTCACACTTTGGGAGGTAAGATAAACAATGGAGAATGCATTAATTTATTCAACTGTTAATGCAGTACTGGGCCAAGCCACTTTGTTCATTTTATGTACATCAACTGCCAGAACAATTACAACTGAGATACTTGATGTGTAAGTAAAC